GTGATGCCACTTCTAGAAACTCATCTCATAGGCAGATATATTTGCATATGAGTGAAATGACACAGATACGGGATAATAATTGCAGCATTGCTTAAATGGCAAAAGATTGGAAACAAATGTCTTCAATGGGACACTGAAGAAAAGATGAACTACCCAGATATGCTAAGTGAACAAAGCAAAATGCAAAGCAATGTGTATAGTATGCTACCACGTGTTTAAAAAAAAATCTGAACATACATACTTGTATATACTTGTACATGCATCGATAGTCAATGCATATAATCAATACAAGAAATAAGTTACATCTGGGAGAGAACTGAGTGGCTGGGCAACAGGAGTGAGAAGAGCAACTGTTTTTCACTGTATTCCAATTTGTAACTCTTGAATTTTGTACTATTCAAGACATTTTAATCAATGAAAAAGCAAAAAAAATGCAGATTCTTCAGCCTTACACAGGACTCACAGAATCACATTCTCTGGGGAAGGAGCCAGGGGCTCTGCATTTTTAACAAGCACCGTGTGCGATTCTCATGCACAAAGTTTGAGGAGCCCTGACAGACAGCATCATTAGTAATGCACACTTATCAAAATAATAATACCAACAGTGATGTAAGCAGTAATGAACACTTATTTAGTAAGATAAAGCTGAAGACACCACTGCCAAAATCTTGCACAAGTTTTCCTGAAAAAATTCTTTGGCACAACGAAGCATAGAAAGATTTTACACTACAACCAAGTATTCCTTGTTCGCTCTGGTGTTTAGTTTTAACCACTATTAATAACTTCACCAGCTTTTTATACTTTGCAAAATGCTTTACCCTAATCTTTGGAGCTAGACAAGAGCATAACAAGCTGTCCATGAAAAGGAGAAGTGACTTGCTCAAAGACAGTGCAGCACCTGCAAACTTAGTACTTTCCGGCCAACAACTATGCCCTACCTTACGTGCTCCAAAGAAACCTGTAAGTAGAAGAGACACACGTTTGCTAGGTTGCTTCCGTCTGGGCACAGCTGTGTTGCAAATCACAATTGTGTATTTCTGAGATGCTAGCAGAGAGAAAGGGCGTAGCCTCAACTCTCAGTTCCAGCTCCCCATCTGCGTTCTTCGATTTCTTCCCCTTTAAATTAAGATGACAAGACAATATGGTGGAGTGATTAAAGAGCACGTGCTCTGGAGCCAGACTGCCAGGGCTCACTCAACTCTGCTACTGTGTAATCTTGAGCAAGTTACTTAACTTCTCTGTAGACACATCTGTAAATGCAGATAGCACCACCTCATTCACTTGGGATGAGGATTAGATGAATCGATGTCTGTGCAGCACTCTGTATGGAAACTAGCACATAGTAAATGCTAAATAAATATTGGCTATTATTATTATTTCAGACCAGTCTTGGAGCGTTAAAGGAATAGAATTCTCAAAAATAAGAGTAAAACCCAGGGAAGGGGTAGAAAGACAGGGAGGAAAACTCTATGGTGGCTAACCAGAAGACACAGAAGGCAAGCAACAATGAAAAGTTGGTTGTTTCCGAGAAATAAAAAACCAACTACAAGATATTGAAGCAATGGGCCAAGCAAAGCAAAGCTGTTTTTTCCTTGTTCTGCGAACTGCTCAGCTGCCAGACATTTCCATTTTCCGGTCTGGGTCCGTATCGCTGCATAAGTTTTGTATCAGGGGCCCCAGACCAAGCAGGTTTGGCCTCAGCGGGTGGCAGCACCTCTTACCAAGCCCCTCTGTTCCTGAATGTGACCAGGACCCTCACCCTCTGTGGCCTGAGGCAACAGGAGGACTCGGCCTCCACAGATCAAAACCTGCGGTCAAAGGGGACCCGGAAGTGAGCTGAGAGACTCCGATCCCACCAGCCCCCCTGGTCGTGGAAGCATCTCAGGAGGCCCCTCAGACTCGGGGGACCCAGACCGGACAGCAGAGCCACCATCGCCTCACTGCACATAATCTGCATACGGGCTGTGGGCAGCAAGTGCAGGTGGAAGGGACCTTCGAGACCACGCCACTTGGTCTCTCTGTTTTATGGCTGCTATGGAGACCGAGCTCCAGGGAGAAGAAACAACGTGCCCAAAAGCTAGGGATATCTAGGTGATTATCCCACCACAGGGAACCCCTGATGTCTGAAATATAAGCCCTCCTACTAATTAAACATGATCTCATCTTTAATTGCTATATTTTAGCCATTTTTTAAATGTTCATTCTGTTTTTAAAAAAAAAAGCCACCAAGCAAAATAACTCTCTCTCTAAATAGTGACATCAGCTGTGGAACAATCACTTCCCTGTGACAACCACTGAGCAAGAACAGTGAAGTCGCCGCTGTCCCGTGAGTGCCCAGTGCAGATTTGGGAAAGCCAGAGAGCACTTGGTGGGAGCGTGGTGACAGGCTCTGACGTAGAGGTTGACGTGCACCCGCACCATCCTAACTTTCCTTTAGAAGCTGTTTGGACTTATCGACCATAATTTATTTATCCAAAGTTTCTAAGAACTTATTAGGCGTTCAGCCTAATATCTTAGAGTGGACCCGACTGAAGACACCATGTGATTCCTCTCCTCTGCAGGCCCCGCAGACAGCTATCACCTTGTCCCTGCCCCCTGCCCCCTGCAGAGACCAGAGCAGCGGGGTCTGCTCAGAATCCAGCTCCAGCTACAGGGTCAGCCACACAGAATCCATCCCGAGGCCTCCACTGGCCAGAGCTGCAGGCACCAAACTTTTACACATGGACCCCGTTTTGAAAGATCTGGTCTAGCAAATTTATCATTTGTTTCTCATTTAAAATAATCAAACTCATATCTCACTACCTGTCAGAGAGATAACTAGCGTTGCCAAACTGACTTGCTATTTTAACCCAGAAACAAAACTCATTCTAAGCAGCTAGAGCTGCCTTATCCTGAATAAATGTTTGATCCCTGCTCCACCTTCCCACCCTCCACACACACACACCTATTGTTTCCCTTTCAGTCCAGGGGATCCGAAGACCCCGTGGACAATACCAGCACATAGAGAGAACTTAACACACCGAAGCCACCACACTGCCCGAAATTGAAAGCAGCCTGGAGTCTGGCATAGCCACCAAAGACTTGCTGTATTGCCCTCCCGGCAGCTAATTTATCTATGATCTGAAATGACATCAAATTTCCAAGGACTGGGGAAAACATTTCCCATGAGCAAGTTAATTTATTTGCAGGGGGAAATGAATGGCTCCCTTTGCTTTCCTGACCCTCCCATAGGCACCAGGAAACAACACGAAGTGACCCTGAAGAGAGACCCCAGACAGAGCCTTCAGTTATGTAAGATGGCCTAAAATCAGCCATGGGTGACAGAGGACATAAATTCCGCAGCCCACAGTAATGGGTCTGCGGGCTCTTTAAGCTGAGGTGCACCATCTATTTAAACGCACTCCTTAGTGAGGAATGACTTTTTTTTTGTATGTCATACTTTGGGGGAGGGGTGCTGAGATTGTGTATTTGAAACAAATTATCCAACTTCTCCTTTCTACAATCACAGGTGAGAAAGTCGCTGTTGAAAAGGCCCAGATTAGCGGAGTTCATTGTGTTAGCACAGGCTACAAGCAGCTCTCTCCCCCTCCTTCTGCCCCTTGTTAATTTATTTCGTGAAAGCTAAAATTCATTCCCCTTTGTGTTCTAACAAAAGAACAGGGGCTTTAGCAACCTAACGGCGTCTTAGGATTGGAAAGACCTCAACATTTGAGACCATGCCCAGAAAAAAGATCATTTGGAAGCCCCAATAAGAAAAATTCATTTTCCAATCAAAGCATATTAACTCTAACAACTCCCAACCCGCCAGAAAGTGCTAAAGTAACGAGAATCGTAAGAGGGAAGGAAATCAAGAGTAAGTGGGGATCATCATTTCCTTCTGCTGTCACACCAACCCTGTTCTATAAAACCATCAGCCAAACTCAGAGTGGTACCTCTCAAGCATCCTCCCTCCATCTCAGCCACCCCTGGGCTAGGAGGGATGCCTCATTTCATTCTCCCCAGCCTTGGTCAAGAAGCACAGGTGAGCCAAGGAACATGAGACTCTCACAGACCATAAACTGCCAATACTCCACAGGGAGTAAGATATTCAAAACGCTCATCTGGTAGGAGCTCTGGCCACCCTCCTTCAAAGTCAAGTTAACACTTAACGCTAATTATAGCCAGGCACTTCCCCAGGCACTTCACATGGATTATCTCATTTAATCCCGAGTTACATGTTATTGACCTTATTTTACAGACGAGGAAAATGAGAGTTGGCTAACTGCCCAAGGTCACAGAGCCCATGCATGCAGAGCAGGGACTCGAAGGTGAGTGGTCTGACCCCAGACCCAGCTCTCTTAACCACTGATCTAGCCCGCCATATGATGTCAGGGCCCATGTGGGCTTGGGTGAATTCCCCAGACGCCCACCCCCCAGCCCTGAGTCTGACTTCCAACACCACCTCACCACAAAGGAAGGTTTCCCTCCTCTTAAAAGTTTCAGACTGGACCGATAGAATGGCTGTAAACAGTACATGAAAATAAGGCAAAAATCCCCCATGCTTAGGGAGCCAAAATGAAATGCCACCATTCTGTGTTGCGTGCGAAACAGCCTCCTGATTTCCTGAAATCCACCCACCAATGACGAAAAAGCAGAGATTGTTCAGATCACTTTATATCTTCTGGTGAGCATAAGGACTCCAGCCTCAGACAAGCTTTGAGACATCGTGGCACTTTGCAAAAGGGAGGACCAGAAAAGAAACCATTCTGTTTCTGGGTCACAGAGCATGTTTCATTCAGAGAGAGAGAGAAACTCTGGACTTTTTAAACGTTTATAAAGATTGATCCTAAACAGAATGCTTATAATCTCAGATAATGTCATATAATACTGGGTCCTTTTCACTCATAAAAATTGTCCCCAATGCAAACTGACAATGATAACGAACTCCATGTACCAACTTCAAACAAGCCAAGGTATAAAACAGCCCCAAAAGGAAAATTCATTGAAAGGAAGGCCATAAAGCAATTTGCAAACATCGCATGCACTTGTTTTATATGAATATCTATAGCCACATACAGTATCAAAATGAAACTGAAAGGGAAGGAACTCGCTGTACAGAAACAACACAATACCCTTTTTATTTTTAAAACTCTGGTGAAATAGTTTCCATAGGACATCCCATTAAAAAAAAAATTAATGTAAACCAACCTGCCTGTGGGTTAGTCACACTACAGAGACTTCATCATGGTGTGTACAGACGCCTAGAGTATTTACAAATGTTACCTGTTAGGTAGTAAAGCTTTGTTGCAAATTTCCAGCACATATTCCACAGTAAAATAAAGGGAGAATATTGGTGTTCTTGTATAAAAATTCTTAACAAATGGATAAAGGCAATTTTCCTGAGAGAAGATTTGTTCTTGAAATATTTTTCTTTTAACAATTGGAAATATAGAAATGGGATGTAGTTGTAAAAGAAGCATAAGAATGTCTAAGTTAACATTTTTCTTTTAAATTATTTAAGTACCATTAAGTTAAAATGTTTACATTCATTATAAAAAATGTTGTTAAATCTTATGCAAATGATTTAACACTGATTGCTGCAACGCAAATTGCACTTTTTAAAAAAATTATTGTATACATGGAAGAAAAATATCTTGTTTGCTACCCTGTTTACAAATTCCGACTGACTTCAGATCAGTCACACAATATGAACTTTGAGAAACATCAGTCACAGTGTACATTACAGCTATAACGCAGTCTTGCAAACCGAGTAATATTTTTGACAAGAGACCTCATGAACCGACTCAGCCTCCAGAAGTGTGTACCAAATGGCCTCAAATGGTCTTCTCCGTGAACGCATGTGAAATTTGGGTGTGGAAAAGGTATGAAGAAATTCTGGAATAACCAAAATCGATCAGAAGAAGCACGTGATTCGGGGCAATACACATAAAACCTTTTTTAAAAATCTCTCAATATTCTTTAGCCGGCAAGTCCCGGTTTCTGGCAGCGGCACAGCGGACACCACATCCTCTGGCAGACCCAGAGGCAGGCTGGCTGGAAGTGGCCGTGGCCAGGGAGCAGGCGACGTGCGTGGGCTGCACCAGCCCTTCCCAGAAGCTCCATCTTCTCTCTGGCTCTTCAGAGACAGCGGCTGGGTGGTAAGGCCGAGCGAGCCTCTTGGGAAACGCATCTCTTTCAAAATAAAGGCACGGAAATCACGCGTCAGAGGAATGTTCTGTCAGCATACTCGCCCCGGTCTGGACTGCTGGACAAAATCACCGCAGGTCGTGCGCCCTCCCGCTCCCCAGAGCCGGCTCAGGCCAGGGCGAGGGCGCACCAGGAATCCTGTCTCACCGAAGACGATGTGACTTCAGCCGGCGAGGCCAGGCTGACGCCAATGTACAGCCCGTCTTGACCTGAGTACTTGAGCTCGCTGTTCTCGGGATTGGTGCTCTCTCCCGGGCCAGACAGCACCGAGGCGCCCGCCTGGCGGAGGAGGGACAGACAGAAAGGGAAAGAGAATGGGAGAGACAGTTATCGATGACATTTGTCAGGTGGCCCACTTGGGCTAGGTAGACACAGGGGCTGGGCAGGGCAGCCTGGGAGAGCATGCCATTGACCTAAACCTGGCAATTTCAGCTCTTAGAAACATTCTCCTGTTAACCTGAGGACTCATGGCAGGAGCCATCCGGCATGATGGTAGGAAAGGGGAACTGGAGGAAGCCTATTTGTAAAAAGTACCCAACTCTCAGATCTCTGACAGTGAAACAAACCATACCACGCAGGTAAATAGGCCTTAATCATGCCCACACAATCTAATCATTTCAAAAGAGAAAATGCAGAACGCTGCGCGCGCACGCACACGCACGCGCACACACACACACACACACACACACAGAGCAGACCCACAAAGCTTAGCAGTTACGTCAAAATCTAAAAAGGAAAGCTACACAGTTCAACAAGGCCTGATAAATGAAATTTTTGAGCACTGACATCATGGAAAATTAACCCATGCATACACAGGTTTTAATATCTACCTCATTTACCTTAATTCTTTCCAAGAAGAACAGGCCCTGTTTGAAGCAGACCACATTATAAAGAAAATGCTAGCATCCTATATCTGTCATGATCTCAGCAATTATTTCTTGAAGCAAAAGGTCACCTCTCTCATTTCATTCATTCCTTCCATCCAAATGAAAAAGACCATATAGAAAACATGATATAATTTAGTAGAATCAAACCAAAATAACTAAAATCGTGTTTAGACTATGGTTTGAGAAAACAGTTGTATCTGACTTTTTAAAAAATCTAGCCATAATCACATACTTTTTAATGATGCCTTTTTCCTTCCAAAAGCTCAGAAGCCCATTATTTCTTCCAAGCTTTCAGGGTTCCATCCCATAAATTACTGGATACTTGTTTTTTGACACAGGTAGAACATTTTGTACTTTTCAAAGCATTCTTTTTTTACATACACAATCCCATTAAATCCCCAAAATATCCATTAGTCTGGCCGAGGTACATCCACTTCAGAGAAACAGGCTAAACTGAATGGAAGGTGTGCCGAGCCTCTGCGGCTCCTCTTGGGGGCCTGGAACTAAATGCCATGCTACTCTTTCCTGGAAAAAATCTGGTTTTCTCTCTAATCCTCACCCTAACCGCAGGAGGCTGGGCGGTGGGGCTTCAGGAGGTCTGACCTGTGACTTCCTGTCTGCCCATCCCAACTTCCTCCCAACCGGACAGACCAACCCAGCCACTCCATAGGTAACCAAGCCTTCTGTCTCCTAGCAAAATGAGGGGCTGTGAAAATCCAGCAACGACAGGACCCCCAACACACACTCAAACTTCTTTTTAAATAACACAAACTTAAAGACTTAAACCGAGGGTTTTAGGTGCATAAAAGAGCAAATTTCACAAAGTCCTTGAGCTGTCTAAATTTTTTGTTTCTTAAAGATTGGCACCTGAGCTAACAACTGTTGCCAATTTTTTTTCTTTTTTTTCTGCTTTGTCTCCCCAAAGCACCCTGGTACATAGCTGTATATTTTAGTTGTGGGTCCTTCTAGTTGTGGCATGTGGGAGGCTACCTCAACATGCCCTGATGAGCGGTGCCATGTCCACGCCCAGGATCCGAACCAGCAAAACCCTGGGCCACCAAAGCAGAGCGCATGAACTTAACCACTAGGCCACGGGGCTGGCCCCTGAGTTGTCTAATATTTTAAATAGCTTCCTCTCAAAATTTTGAAATAGCTGAAGAATCCTGTCAAGCAAACTAAAGCTACTGATTTGGCTACACGTATAAATATGGTGATTAACTTTAGCCCTTAATTCCATAATTTCTACTACCCCTGAGGAAATAAACAAAAGGGTCATATTCAATTACAAAAGGAGCCATCATACAATTAGTAGGATGTGAGCTTCCTTATAAATGATTCCGGTCACACCCAACTTTGACTTGATCCACCTATTCCCTGGAAAGCGCATCTGCCATCTGCGTTTATCTGACGAAATCTGACTTCCCCACAGCAAGCGCTGTTTCATGGAATGAAGAGGGGCCTGCATTGGCCCAGGAAGCAGCCCACCTCGGACAGCCAGCAGTGCTGACATAACAGAGGGTCTGTCGTCACCACCACAAGTCAGCGACGAGAAACATTAGCAAGGTACCTATGAGAGCCAGGCATGGGGACGAGGAGCCCCAATGAGACAGTCGCTCGCTGGACGAGCTCCCAGGCTGCGAGGGGAGCCAGGATACATACACACTTGAAAATAAGACCGCTCAACTCCCCATCCTGCAGGATGAATGAGTGGCTGGGACAGGGAGGTGGAGCGAGAGGTCAAACAAGGAATCACAGAGGGGAAGGCTTGTGCGCAATGGCCATAGGCAGCCTGTACAGTGGGGACAGCTTTGGCTTTCAAACCCTGTCCTGGTGCAGCCACCTCCCCGAGCCTCCTCCTCAGTGACTGGCCCTGGTATTCCCTACCTCAAGTGTGGCCGCGACAATTAAATGACAATGTTTCGTTGTGACAATTAAATGACATAATGTTTGTAAAAGCATCCACATGAGGCCTTGCCATGTTAAACATTCCACGAAGGGAAGCTATTATCATTGGTGAGGAAAGGGTGTTCAAAACCAGAGGCACGCAGGGTGTGGGGAGGCCTGTTCGTAAAGCCAGCAAACGAGTCAAAGAGACAACACGGGCGAGGTAAACTGGAAGGCGTGACCTGAAACTTTCTGTGCCTCAGTTTCCTCACCTTTAAAATGGCAATAAGAAGAGGACCTATGTCGTAAGGTTGTCGCAAGAATTAAATTAGCTGATACCTGTAAAGCCCTTACAACAGCGTCTGACAGTAGTGAAGACTACAGAAGTGTACACTACTGTTAGTATTTTATTTTACTCTTAAGGTTAAGGAGCATGGACCTAATTTAATCCCCCCAATTCCATCCATGGGCCCAAGTGAGCGACTGCCATCACCCGGTGGAGCAGCAGTGGGAACTCATCCAGAGCTAAGGGACACCACCTCAACAAGGACTCCGTTCTAATTGTTACCAACAGCTCTTTGCGAAGAGAAAGCAAGGTGTGTCCACAGCCCTTCGAAAGGACACTGGTCCTTTCTCAAATAAGCCACATTAAAGAAATCTTAATACCTTGAATATTATTCTTACTCCTGAACAATAACCCCCAAAACCACCAGTTGAAAAACATATTTTCTTTTTCAGACAAAATTGTTAAGTTCTATGGCAGGCCAGGAGTCCTGCTGTCAAAGGGTGGGCAAATCCCAAATTATGAGTGATAAGCTCCTGAAAAAACAGTTCATTTGAAATATAAAGCAAGATCTGAATCTGTAAGAAAAAAACAGAACAACTACTTGTGCCCAAGGCTTGAGAACTTACTATTTTTAAAGGACAACACACTATTTAATCATGAAATACTGCGATGTAGAGCTTTTTTATATGTCAATAGTACCTCAATAAAAAGTTAATTAAAACTTTTATGCAACGATACATAATGATGAGATGTGATGACACCATGATGACCACGGTACCCTCATCCACGGCTGGTGGGGCTATTTTCTGGCACACGCCTTAGAAGGTAGTTCACAGAGCCATCAAGAATATTATATCCTACTTAGCTCTGTAATTTCACCTCTGGAAATGTCTTATAAGGAAAGAAATCAAAGGAAGGGAAAGGATCCACAGGGGAAGACATCATTGCAGGGTTCCTTATAATAGTGCAAACCATGGAAATAATCTAATGTCTAATGATACGGGGATGTTTGGAAAAGCAAGGGACATCCGCTCAGTGAGCTATTACGCAATTATTAAAAATAAGATCATGTAGCAAAATGGAAAAAAGCCCTATAATGCACTGTCAAGGGAAAACAGGACATAAATTCTAATAATCTCACGATTACAACTTACCCATGCACATGCAAAAGTATTTCAAGGGAACTTAGGAGCGGGTGGGGACAGGGGACCATCGGAGAGGGCCCAACCTATTAGCCATCTATACTTTTCTTTGACTATTTTCATTGAATGGCATAGTACAGTCTAACTTTGGGGAAGAGTAGAAGACATACATTAGCACTAGAAACATGAAACACAAGCACTCAATTGAGGGATGAGCCACCTGGTCGGAGTCATAAAGGAGCATGAAAAAACAGGAGGAATCAGAGTAACATAGGGAAGGGAGAATCAGAAGGGGCCCCCTGCACCCCTGAAGTCACCTCCATGCCACCTGGAGCAGGCTGGAGCCTGGCCAGCCATGCACAGGTGAAACATAGCTGTACAGAAGTTAAAACACCAAACACACTACATGGGTTCATTGGTGTAACCTGAGCTCTCGAAATCGGTATTCTAACTACAGAAGTCTGGGATCGGCACAACAACCTGTCTTGTCACGTCATTGCTCATCTTAAGGCTTTTCCTTCATTGGTGATATTCAAGAGCTACTTACTGAGAATCAGTCCAATTTGGGGAGAAAATCAGAGAAAATATGTGGACATAGTACACACACACACACAAATACAAGTATAAATTTCAATTGGTTAATATGTTTTCCCACATCTAGTTAAATCCTTCCAATGACTTTAGTTCAGATCACAGACACCTCAGAATAGCAAAACAGGCACTTCACTAAGCTAAACCAACCCAGACCAACAAACATCCCGGAATGAAAGTAAAAGACAGCACTCTGGAGTGCCCGCAGCGGGCGGCTGAGGCAGGCGGAGGTTCATGCTCTTTCCCTGATCAAAGTGCAATAAGAGGGTGGAGCAGAAATCTGTTCTGTGTTTCCATTCACAGCTTATCTGCCCTCCACCCTCCCACAGACAACTGAAAATGGAGGCACTTCCTGTTGAAAGAATGTGTTATCAGCACCAGACCCAGCCTGGGCTTAGCACTAATGCAGGCCCCGGGTAGGTGGGAGAGCGGCTGGGCTGGAAATCTCCCTCCTAAAGGAATTAATGACTTCAGGGACAACTCGGGCTG